ACTAGGACTAGAGGTCCCATTTGACCCAGCTATTCCCCTGCTGGGTATCTTCCCAAAAGAATTAAAAGAATCATACCACGGTGATATATGTGCACCCATGTTCATAGTGGCACAGTTTGTAATAGCTAAAGCCTGGAAACAGCCCAAGTGCCCATCAACTGGATACTGGATAAAGAAAATGTGTTGTTTTTTTTTATAAAATAGAGTACTACTCAGTCATAAAGAATGAAAAACTAGAGTCACTTATAGCTAAATGGGTGCATATCAAGGCCATACTCTTAAGTGAAATAAATAGGACACACATGGGTAGACTGTTATTTTAAAGACAGAATTGATCAAAGCATAATATAAATTGTATATATCTTATGATAATAACTTTATAGATGTTATGGTAAAGGATATTTGTAGAGGAATGTAAACCATTTAAATGTATTTATTGGAGTGAGTGTTATGAGCACCTTCAATTTAAAATTCTTTTCTATTAATGTTGCTGTGAAGTTGTTTGTACAGTCCTATTTAAAAAAATCAAGCTCAGGCAAAAAGTGTATTCACAATCCTGCTTTGAAATCACCTCTATGCCACTTAAAAACTTTATATAAAACAGAGATAATTTTTCTTTGAGATCCAAGGGCTGAAGAATTATTTTCTGGGTATAAAATATTTCCAAGGAAGAATTTTGGAGGTGGCTCACATAAAATTATAGTAGATCCAGGACAGAGAAGTCGTAATGGGTCACATCCAGAGACTCCCTATTAGTGTCCCAAGTTCTTGGCTAGCTACAAATGATTGTTCTAACAGTTTCCAATACATTCCAGTAGGTCAGTGATGACTAACTAAATGCTTTTTTGAGGATCTGATGTTGTGTCTGTATTCAGCAGAATAGTCATATGAATTAGTGATGTCTGCCATGAGAAAGTAAGGATGGAATAACAGATGGGAACATTTTTTCTTGTTCTATCATCAGTCATTTCTGTCCATCTATAATGGTTGCTTTGTGCAACAAACAAGGGCAGGCAAGTTAACTTTAAGTTCTCTTTTCTTGTCCCTTATCAAATAAGCACGGTATTGAATAAAGTTGGTTTAGTATAGTTCCTACTTTTTAGGTGCTTAAGTCCAAGATATTAAAGTATTAAATCAACAACAACAAAAAATATATATATAAAATGCATTAAACAGTGAAGAAATTTCAAGGATACACAAAATGGAAATACATTTGTACACAAACAAATACTTAATCTGTTTGTGAGGAGGGTCAAATTGTGGTGGTCTTTCAACTACTGAAATGTGGTGATTAAGTGCTGCAGAATGTGGTACTGTTCACAGGCTAGGCCCCTCCCTGAGACAAGGAATGTCAGTAGGGCAGAGCTTCAGGATCCTGCTCTAATTGTTTCATGGTGGCAGCTCTAATATCCTTTTTTTTCAAACATTATTTTTAGTTTTAGTTTTTTTCATCAATTAGCATAATATGATATGCAGAAAATGGGCTGCAAATCAACTAGGATCTACTATTCACTTTGGAGTATGACTCTGAGTTTCCCTATCTGAGCCTCAGTTTCCTCATTTATGAATAAATGAAGGTATGGGATTATAAGAGTCCTTTTACTACTATGCTTCTGTCTTTGGAGTAAGTACACTTTGAGGTTGCTCGACACCCTTCTTGTTTAAATACCATACCTTCATGGTCCCTGACCGATTCTTACAGTGTTCTTCCACCTGACTTGTGCTTGGTCACAGCTGACTAGAAGGGACTGATATCAAACCTAAGCTGGCTCATTAGGCTTTTTTCTCCTGGGAAACAGAAACTAGATTTACTGGACACTTTAGCAAAGATGAGACCACCAGGTACCATAAACAAATAGGGAAAAATTGACTACAGAGATAAATGGAACAGATTGCAGAAAGAAAACAGCCACGACAGACCAGGAACTCTAGAGAAAATTGAGTTTGATCTCAGTCCTTGATGCAAACTGAAATTCCTGATACAGTCCCTCAGGAAAGCCAACTGTACTTCATTCATTCATTCTTTCATTCATTCACCATGTTTTGACTGAGAAGCTGTTTGATTGCAAGCACTATTTCGGGAATGTGAGGGACATCGGTGAAAAAAAGGCACAGTTCCTGACATCACAGATTTTTTCTTTATTAGAAAAGAGAAACAATAAATAAATATACAACATAGCATCAGAGTATAAAGATTAAGAACCACAAACTTGGCAGGAGGAGAGGGAGAGGATCAAGGAGAATTTATCTGAGCAAGTAACATTTGAACAAGAACTTGAATAAAATGAATAGACCACTCAGACATGTCAGAGAAGAGCTGTCGAGGCAGAGGTAGCAGCTTCTGCAAAAGTCCTACACTGGGACTGTGCTTGCCATGTCAAGGGCAGATGGTTCAAATCTGCTCATCTCATTACCATCATCTTTATGAGAGTGAAATGGGTTGATAGTCCTTCTTTCACACTGGTTGAATGACCTTCACCTTTAATTCATTTTAGCAACTTCTCTGCCTTCAGCCTTGGTTCACATTCTCTGAAATTCTAAATTCTAATCTGTCACTGTCACATTGACTTCAGTGTCCTATGCATTACCTCCCTCATCTGCTTTTTCTCACTCTCTGCAGTTTTCTTCCTGAAGATCTATAGTTCCTTTAAGTCCTCCCTTTCGTCTGTCTGTTGGGCTGATCCTTTATTGATTCTCATCTTTCTCCAACTTAGATTCTTTCAAAGACTGGTGGTATAGTGTAGTGGTTGGAGCATGCCCTTTGGAGTCAGCTGGCCTGGGTTAAAATACCAGCTCCACCATTAACTCTGTGCTTCAATTTTCTGAGGACATAATAATATAACCTCTGTCATTGCTGTCATATGGATTAAATGATCCAATGTACACACACTGTTTAGGAACTCGACAGGCCACAGAGTAAGCACTTGGTAAAAATTATCATGATAATGATTGTGCAATTACCATAACTATTCATCTGCTCTCCCAGCAACAATTTGAATCTTCTTGACTCACAATCTTATTCTGTTTAACCTTCCCTAGAAGTCTTAACCTAATCTTATTTCTCTGTTCCTATAACTTGGCAGCTAAGATTTATTTTAAAAACAACAACAGATACCAAACCAAAACAAATAAAAAACCAAACAATAACAGCACCCCCCCCCCAAAAAAAACCCAAAGGAATCCTACTTTATCATGCAGGTGGACACTGCTGTAAACTAAGAACTTCCAGACTCAGCTTGGTCCCCCACCTACTTTGAAGATTGCTTTACAGTGCTTTTGGTTAGCTTTCTTACCCATTCCCTTCACTTGAGATTCCAAACCATCATCGTTCTTTTCCCTAAGCTATTGACTTTTCACCTTTGCTTGACAGGAACTACTTAAACACAGCTAAAATGTATTCATATTCTCACACCTTCCTCTTCATAGGTAGGGTTCTTTTACCCTCTGCTTTAGACTAGTTATCTATTTATGTTCTCTATAACTTCCCCTTCTCATTCCTTTGGGGACCTGAGCCCATTGTTTATGTCTTCTCTGTTTCATTAGTTTCAGGCCCGAAATGCGCTCAAATCTCTCCCATCTTAACAAAACAACATCCCTCTGAGCTACAAATTCCCTTCTATCTGCTGTTCCATCTCCTTTCTCTACAGCTCAGTTTCTTCACCTTGCCAAATGACCCCTGGGACAAAACTGACTGTGTTTGAGAACTACTGAATAAAGGATAAGGCAATATAAAACAGAAAAACTAGTACATAACTAAATACAGCAGAAACTCTACAAGGAGGAACCCACAGTAGTCTCTGGTCTCTGTATTTAGAGTTGAGTTCAATCTATCTCCTTTACTGCAAAAATCTTGACTGTATTAAAATAGTCTTGAATAAAGTTTTCCTTGTCATTTTAAAATGAATGCCTAATGCAATTTCTTCCTAACACTAAAGACAAAATATTTACCTAGTGGGCTTGTATCAATTCACATCATGAATCTTCATTGCTCTTTACATAACTTTCAGGTGTTCTGTGGAGTGGGAAGGGTCAAACAGGCTTTTCTTGTTTTTGAGACTAAAAAGTCTGATTTCTCTAGCTTAGGGGGGAAATTTAGAAACAATAAAGGCTATGTGACTTTGTAAATCACCTCCATAGTGGCTATTACTTAATCAATTTGTCACATTTATTTTCATTTGCTCTTGTGGTGACATTTTAATGAATAATACAAAACCAATGCTCAATTCAAAATGACATCTCAAGGCTCTTAAACAAAAACATGCTTGGTATCTAAAAAAATAGTTTCCTCTCTGTAATCTAACTCATACAATTCACATGCAGCCTACTTCTGGTTCTACCACTGGCTTGGGGCTCACACTGTACCTGCAACATCAAACTCGATTTCCAGTGTGACCTTGCTCGTGATGGAAGAGTCTCGGAGGAGCTGATTGGCCTCCTCGAAGGTGCTGTCTTCTGTTGGAATTCCATTGATGGCCATCACTCTGTCTCCAATCTGTAGCACTCCACATCTAATTTAGAACCACGTTATAGGTTGTAGACAGAGTAAACAATCATTAAGTTGAATTTGTCAAATCTACCTTGTTTCATCCTTGCAAAATAGTACAACCATTTGGTCTTATTTACTTAATCCTGTGGGCATCACATTAGGTAAACTGCAGTGTCTTGCTCTCTTGTATTTCATGGCTACAACATGAAATGGCAATGAAATCCTATAGTATCTCAGAGAAGTAATTAATAATTCATAACCATAGTACTGTTATAATCTGATCTGAACCAATATACAGTAATGACGAATGGACATCCCTATATGGGAGAGAAATTACTAAAGTTTGCATTTCAGATTTTTTTGGTATGGAATTTTTCCTTTTTAATTATTATAGCCGCTAGACTCCTGATGGACAAAATCTGTGAGATAAATGCACCCATGCTCATAATTCTTCTCAAATCTGATCAAGAACATACAATTTTATTGTCAGAACAGAGAGTTGATTACATCTTGCATTTCCTGCACTGAATACCATTCCATAATTTATTAGCCATTCAGAGAGACAGCACCAGAAATGCAGAGCAGATAAAAAAAGTGCTGTAAAACAAAACCTCTCACCTCTCTGCTGGGCTGTCAGCTTCAATATAGGAAATCAAGGGTGGAGAAGAGAGAGTCTCTGTGGCAAACACACTGCCCTGCAGTTGGATCCCAAATCCTGTCACAGGATCTGCTGTCAGCACAACCTCCGTGGTTTCTGTGTGAACAACCTGTCCAGCCAATCCCACTGTGCTAGAGGCTAAAGACACTAGAAAGGCAAATGTATAAAAGAATCACTTTAGGTTCAAGCAGGTATCAGGAACACCAGTATTTCCAAAATAAATCATGCCCCAGAATAAAAGCACATTGGCTTTGTGGGAGTTTGAATTCTGGCCTTCCAGCAAAAACTTTGGCCAGAATTGAATGGGATAAATGAATCTTTCAGTATTTTCATGTTTTAGTGATAAAACCAGGGAAACTTCTTCTATACCCCTACCCCTCAAACTAAGAACTATTGTAGGAGCTGCAAGAATAGGACATCCTCAGGATCAGGGCTGGTGAATTGTATTCCTGGCTGTGTAACGGAACACCAGCTGCAGGGACATCTCTGTGTGTGTGTTTGTACTATCTAGGGAAAGGGGAGCTGAAGTAGCTGGTCTAACCGTTTTTCAACTTTAGCCATCTGTGCTTGCACTTTATTGACTTTTTACAAACCACCCAACCTTGAGCTCTGAGAAATAATTAACCTAACTCTGGCCCCAGAAGTGTTGTAGCTGGCACAGGGATTTAGCTCAGTGGAGCCATGCCTGCCTCATAAGCGCAAGGTCCTGAGTTCGAACGCCAGTACTGGAAAAAAATTATAAGTGTTGTAGCTATACTGGTCTTCAACCCTCCTTCAGCACTGAGTTGGTATAATAGAATCATTTTAACCATACATTCTTCCTATCCTCAAATACAGTCTGTTCAGTCTTTGTTCTTTCCTACTAGGCCTACAGCCTTTCTGTTCTCTCCTGTTTCATTCAGTTCTCTAATATTTCTTTGAGCCCCTGGCCAGATCTCTGTCTCTGGTCCTCTTCTCTTCTCTTCTCTTCTCACTTCCCTTCTCTTCTTTTTTCTCTTCTCTTCTTCCTGCTCCTCCTCCTCCTTCCTTCCTCTCCCTCCTCTCTGTTCCTTTCCTCCCCTCCCTCTCCTCCCTCTTTATCCCCAACTTTGCTCATGAAAGGACCACTCCATTCCTGGATGCATGGATGCACACAACTCTTAGCCCTGCCCACTGGACCCGACCACCTGTGCTCTCAGAGCAAGCTCTCTGCTTGCAAGGTCTCATGCTGAAATATCACTTTCTCCAAAAATTTGTCTTCTGGCATCATCACTTTAATTGAAACCTAATGACATCAGAACCCTTTCCAAGGAAAGGACATTTCTTTCACTCCCTCTATGTGGGACAAAGAGAAAGTTTCATAATTCACCTTGCCCCTGCATGCAGTGCTTTTCCCCTCAAATGGCTTGTATTTAAAATTCCACATTCTGTACTTATTTCTGCTTTGTCTCATCTTCAAACCTACAATTTTCTTATTTTCAAAATTCTCTCCTATTTCCTCTCTGAATTCAGGTCTTCAGTCTTAGTGTACTTCTTCTAACCTGTGGCCTTTCCTCATCCTCATCACAATGATATCTTTAGCATGCTGGCTTTGTGGTTCTTCAGCTGACTCAGTTCCAGTCATTACCAACTCCACCCTACTTTGCCTGTCTGTCAGCACAAGCCATCTTCCTTCAACATGCATAGATCTCTAAGTTCTCAGTATCTGAATCCCCCTCATAGATCACACACCCTTTATTAGCCATCTTTCCCAGTCCCTACAATCAAACATTCTCCTCTTTATGACTTCTAGTCCCTTTCTCTTTGTTTCCTGGCCTACTCATTTTCAAACAACATTTCTAGCCACAGATTTTCCCTCTTCAAATGAAAGCATCCTAAGAGGTGCTGAAGTTGGATAAAGCTTAGCTAAGGGTGAAACCATTATCTTTACCAACTGCCAGCTACTGGTACTCTTTCTCCTCACACTCCACCTGGACCTCTGGGGATCATTTCAATGATGCATTCGCCACTGTCAGAGATCCTTAACCATCATATTATCTGCTATACTCCTACACTCTATACTCATTGGTAATGCCCAGTCAACTACATGGCTGTTACTAAGTTGCTGAAGGATGTTAGAGAAAGTCACTATAAATTCACATCATTCTCTTTTGCACCCTAGAATCCTTCATAGGGTAATATTCTGGCAACTTCTTTGACTCCTTACAAATCAGGTGTGGTGGCATACGCCTGTAATCCCAGTACTTGGGAGGCTGAGGCAGAAGGATTGCTGTGTGTTCAAGGCCAGCTTGGGCTACATAGTGAGTTCCAAGGTGGACTGAACTACATGGCAAGACTCTGTCTCAAAGAAAAGAAAAGACAAGAAAAGAATAAGATTCATTCCTTACAGTATTGATTTCAAACATTTCTTTTCTTATGAGTCAAACTTTATTCTTTATTTTATTTCCGACAATAATGAAAAGATTCAACCATTTGACAAGTGCTCCTTAAATAACATTCATTTCAACATCAGTTTCTCTGAACCATCAACTGTTCTCCTTCTCTGTCTACTTCTTTTTTTAAAAAAAATAATTTCATTGGTACATTTTAGGTATACAATATAATGACATTCATCACTGGAAATTTGCACCTTTACATAATCTCTCTTGGTACTTATTTTTTCCCCATTCCCCTGCCCTCCCTTTTACCCCTCCATCGCTCCCTATTTACAAAACTTTGTTTCCATTTTTTCATTTTCTCATATTAATTCCATTCCCTTCTTTCCTTTCCCCTACCCCTCCTACTTCCCTTTCCCTTTTGCCCCTTTTCTTCCTATTTCACATTTTCTATTATACCTTTTAGACCTTATTTACTCTTTCAGTTTCTCACACTAGAGAAACTATTCGGTATTTACACATGTGTGTCCTATTTATTTTACTTAGGAGTATTGCCTCAATGTGCATCCATGCTTGTTTCTCACTTTTTATGGATGAATAATACTCCATTTTATAAAAAAAACCCACATTTTCTTTATCCAGTCTCCAGTTGATGGGCATTTGGGCTATTTCCAAGTTTTAGCTATTACAAATTGTGCTGCTATGAACATGGGTGCACATATATCACTGTGATGTGATTCTTTTGATTCTTTGGGGAAGATACCCAGCAGGGGAATAGCTAGGTCAAATGGGACTTCCAGTCCTAATTCTTTGAGGTATCTCCATAGTGATTTCCACAGTGCTTGCACCAGTCTACACTCCCACCAGCAGTGGAGTAGGGTTCCTCTTTCCCCACAGTCCCACCAGCATTTATTATTGGTTGATTTCATGAGAACAGCCATTCTTTCTGGGGTGAGGTGGAATCTCAGCCTTGTTTTCATTTGCATCTCTCAAATGACCAGTGATGTTGACCATTTTTTCATGTATTTATTTGCCATTTCTACTTCTTTGTGTGAGAAATGTCTGTTCATTTCAGATGCCCATTTTTGGATTGGGTCTTTAAATTTTGAAGGTCTGTTTTTTTAAAGTTTTTTATAGATTCTAGGTAGCAGACTTTTGTCTGAGGAACAGCAGGTGAAAATTTTTTCCCACATTGTGGGTTGTCTCTTCACACTGCTGGTGGTTTCTCTTGCTGTGCAGAAGCTTTTTAATAAGAAGAGATCTCACTTGTTGATTGTTTGTGGTAGTTCACAGGCAACTGAGGTTTTGTTCATAAAATCTTTTCCTACACTAATGTCTTCAAGAGTTCTACCTAACCTCTGTTCCAGCCAGTTCAGCATTTCTGTTTTAATATTTAGATCTTTAATCCATTTTGATTTTAGTTTAGTGCATGGTGAGAGATATAGGTCTAGTTTTAATCTTTGGCAAGTTGAAACTCAATTTTTCCAGCACCATTTATTAAAGAGGCTATCTTTCCTCCAGTGAGGGTGTTTGGCTCCTTTTTTGAAGATGAAGTGGCCAAGTGTGTCTGGAGTTGTTTCTGTATCTTCTAATCTGTTCCACTGTCCTCATGTCTGTTTCTTTGCCAGTACCATGCTGTTTTTTTCACAGTAGCTTTGTAGTATAGTTTCAAGTTGGGGATTGTGATACCCCCTGCCATGTCTCTGTTGCTTAGAATTGCTTTTGCTATTGTATATCTCTTCTTGTTCCAAATGAATTTTCAGATTGTTTTCTCAAGGTCCACGAAGTATGCTTCTGGGATCTCAACTGGGATTGCATTGAATCTATATAGCAGTTTTGGAAGTATGGCCATTTTCACTATGTTGATTCTTTCTACCCAGGAGCAAGGGATGTCTTTCCATTTTCTGATATTGTCTTCAATCTGTCTTTTCTGAGTGCTATAGTTTTCAGAGAAGAGGTCTTTGATTTCTTTGTCCACTTCTGATGTATATCCTTCCTTTCATTTTAAGACTAACTCCTCTTTTTAGTGTTTTATAAAATATTATTCCCTTTCCATCCCTTCTGTGATTTTTTGTGTCATAAAGAACCTTTCTCTTGCTCTTCTAAACTTTCTCATTCACTTCTCTACCTTTCTGACATCTGTCTTTCAATTTGTGCTGATTCTGAAAGGGCTTAAAATTTGGCTTCTTCCTTCACCCTTTCCTGAACCATTCTCACTGATGACTTCATAGTTGTCAAAAATCTATGGCCTCATTCATTCTAATTGTTTTGCAGTGACTGGCTTTAAGACCATCCTCTCCTTTCTGGAACTGCTCTCTAGTTTCCATGAAATTTATTTCTTAGTTTCTTACATTTTCATTCCCTGCCAATCCTTTTGTTTCCTTCTGTGTAGGAATCAGAGACTTCCCAGGCATTTATGCCTTCATTTTTCTCATTTGTTCTCTCATTCACCTTCCATGTGCCTACAACACAACCTCTCTATGCTTCTTTTCAATTCAATCTAATGTCTTTCAAATTTCAGTGATGAACTTCTTCACTTTATAGATATCCATTGTAAACATGTTCCATCAGCTTCTCAAAATTAGTGTTTTCAAAATTAAGTAACTCATCTTCCCTGTTTTAATGTCTCTCCTATTTCTGTGAGACTTAGATGTGTACAGCCATCCAGCATCTCAAAGTATCCTTTGACTCCCAACTGCTCATTGTCTAAATTCCACCAGCTGCTAAGTTCTTACAGGATAACACAGAAGATATCTTTCATGAGTCCTCCTTTACCTTTTTACTTTCAAAATT